CAGGCATTTTTTTTCACATTCTGAGGCCGTGCAAAACAACTCCATTCTAATTGTGGGACTAACTTCATTTGAGCTAGCAAAGAGTTGGAGATGGACAGTACTGTGTAGAGGTATTTTAGGGAACATGGATGTAGCTGGAACTTCAGACCTCCACATGAGTGTTGCTAGGGGAGTCCTTGATTCAATGCTCTTTTAGCAAAAGTCATCTAAACCACGAGGTGCTGTCGAGCTTAATGGCAGAAATCACAGCTATCATCAATGTACGTCCACTTCTACCTGTATGCACAGACCCACAACAACCTTTAATTTTTTTCACCAGCCATGTTCCTTACACAGGAATCAGGGGTACCACCCTCTCCTGGAGATTTCATAGAAAAGGACCTTTACACAAAACCATGGAGACATTTTCAAGCTCTTGCAAACCAGTTTGGAACCGCTGGAGCCAAGAATACTTACCATCCCTTCAACAAAGACAAAAATGGGTGGTGACAATCAGAAACCTTCAAGTGGGGGATCTAGTTCTCCTTAGGGACAAACAGATCCTAGGCAACTGCTGGCCCATGGCCATAGTCACAGCAACCTTTCCTGAGAAGGATGGACATGTGAGAAAGGTTGAGGTAAAAACGGCCAACCAAGGTGATGCAAAAAACTTTCTCAAGACAGTTAGGGAAGTCGTTCTTCTGCCTAAGGACTGATTCAGTGACTGTTGTTTTGGACTCCTTCAAGTTTATTGTGGCCTCACAACGGCCAGACTGGGAGTGCATGGCCTTTACGGCATTAAGTTTATTGTTAGAATTGATTCACGTATATACCGTATGTGTTCTGCTTACAAAGTAGTAGTAAACTCTTGTTTACTACTACTTATAAGCAGAACACATATATATGCAGTGATGGGACTAACGGCGTTGAAGGTAACGGCGTTACTAACGCCGTTACCTTGTTTTAGTAACGAGTAATCTAACTAATTACTTTGACTGTAACTATAACGCAGTTACCATTGCAGACACCCCGTTACTGCGCGTTACTCAGGTCGCACAATGAGCCTTTTTTCATGATAAGACTCGTGCGCAGCTGCGTGAAGCTGACACCCCACCCACGTCAAAAAGAACTCTGCAAATAGACTGAATAGTTAGTGCAACGTTAGTGCAGATTTGTGCAGAAAAAAATATTGTTTGTGCTACTTTTGTTTAAGAGATATTAAAGATTATTTTTAGGTCATCCAGAGGTGCGCGCCTTGTCATGAGAGAGGGGAGGATGAGAATGGCTGATGTATAGTGAGATATAGTGGATGGATGGATGGATGGATGGATACTCTGCCTTTTCAACATACTGTATTTTTTATTTTAAACATTATTTGATGGCCTTTGTGGCAGGGATGGAGATCCATATTTTATGTCACACACAGAGTATAGATAGATAGATAGATAGATAGATAGATAGATAGATAGATAGATAGATAGATAGATAGATAGATAGATAGATAGATAGATAGATAGATAGATAGATAGATAGATAGATAGATAGATAGATAGATAGATAGATAGATAGATAGATAGATAGATAGATAGATAGATAGATAGATAGATAGATAGATAGATAGATAGATAGCAGTGGCGGCTGGTGAAAAATATTTTTGGTGGGGCTGATATAGCCTAGTGTATGTCTCCAACTAATCCGGAATAAGAATTCAAATAAACATTTGGACAATACATACAATTTAACAGTAATGATTTAATTTACTATATAATAACAGTAACAGGAATGATTTGGGTCACTGTGACGGGGTTCTTTGGCCTCCAAGAATCCAGGCTCAGTCGGGTTACCGGTGTTGGTGATTTATTGTGCTCAAAAACTCAAAACAGGGTGCAAAAGAAACTAAACATGTACAAGATACTCTGGGCCTCAGCCTCCCTCCAGTTACCAGCAATGTAACAAAGAAACAGAAAACAAAAATTGCCGCTTTTCTTCCCACAGCCCTCATTAAATAGTTTAAGCCCCTACAGGCTCTCTTATTTCTGATTTCTTCTCATAAATCAGTTTTGTCCATATATTACCTCCACAAACAATTGATGTACAAAAACAAATAATTTTTACAACTTAATTCTTTTACACAGATTCATTGACTTATTCAATTACACCAAACTGGGTTTGAACCCAGCAAAGACGCAGCCAGACTGAAGATGACAAGTCCCCGTAGCATAAACACGTACACACACACACACACACACACACACACACACACACACACGGCTAACCCCACTGAAATATTAAGTGTGCACCCTCAATACGCCAGCAGGTAACCAGGAACAGCTTGTGTGTTTTAAGTTCATGGAGCTACTTGGCTCAGCGCGAGTGTATTGGTCCTCACAAACACAGTATAACAGGAATGTGTGTGTGGCGCGCAAAGTTAGAGAGGTTGTTTTAAGCGACGAGGTGGATTCCTCACAGTCACAATAACCATGACATGAAATGTTCATATCCTACAACAGGGATGTTCTTCTGGCAAACGGGTAGATAAATAAGGATCTCACCGAATTTGGTGGAAGCTGCATCTCGTTCGTTACATTCGCCATCTTCCCTCTAACTGTCTGCACCTGCGCTTGGGTTCAGAAGCCTGTTAAAGCGCAGTATTTTCAGAGCCCCAAGACCATAAAGTTCCGAGACGCTGATTGGCCATTAAATTCACCTAGCAATAGTACATGATTGACAGATTCTCTGCAAATGTGGGGCTGTCTGATCACAGCCCCCAGAACAGAGACGGTAGGAGTCTGTCTGTGGAAATCCACAAATTAATGACAGTAGATAGGGAAATGTAGTTTATATAATTTGTTTTGCTTATAGGTACACAGTCTAGAGAGTAAAACTGACATTTATGAGTTAATTTCTAAAAATGTATTTTACGTTTCTCTCTTCTTATCAGGGAGGGCGGTGCCCCAGCGCCCCCTATGGGCCGGCCGCCACTGATAGATAGATAAATGTTGCAGTACACAGGATTTCAGAATTAGACATCCCCAGTTATTAATTTCATATACTCACCAGTTGCAATAAATGCAAAACTCTCTGCAGGTTCTTGTCTTTGTCGTTCGCTCTATTCAGCTGGCTTTGGAAACACACGGCGAGAAGGTGGGGGCTGGGTGGTGAGGGTTACGGGGGCGAGAAACGCAAAAGTAACGCAATAGTTACTTTTACTAGTAACTAGTTACTTTTATTGTGGAGTAACTCAGTTAGTAACTCAGTTACTTTTTGGGAGAAGTAACTAGTAACTATAACTAATTACTTTTTCAAAGTAACGTGCCCAACACTGTATATATGTGAATCAATTCTAACAATAAATAAAATCCTCTCAAAGTAGTAGTAAACTCTTGTTTACTACTACTTTGAGAGGATTTTATTTTGAAGATCATCTTGCAGGTGATGACACTTCCTACTGTCTTTGCATTCAGAGCGATTTTTTTTAATTATTGCTTAGAGGGAAAAAATCATCAGGACTTGTCCACAGCCATTCACTTTGCAACATTGTTTGAGCAACATCTTATCACTTCTTGTCAACTGAAGTAGCAGAGAGTACTAACAGAGAGTGCGTGTCGTCTTTGTTTTTGTTTTTTTAATAGACTATGTTAAATCTGCCCTATGTGTCTCCTTGGTGTGTTCTGCATGTGAGTAAGAAAACAATGGACCATGACAGATGTTTAGTAGAAGCAAATTATGGGAAGTTACAGGTATAGCGCCCCTAGTGGCCAAGAGTTACACGTTGTGTCTTTACCTTAACCCGTTAAAGCCCGATCCAAGAATAAAACAAAACAGAAAATACTTTTCTTTGGTTTGAAGTCCTTATTTGGCCTTTTAACAAAATATGTAACAAGAAAAAACAGAAATACATTTTTGATATTAATAATTTATTACTATGCGATAAGTCAAGATTATTTTTTTGTAGTCTTCTGCCCTCTGTTATCAGGCATATCTGATTGTGTACAATAGGATTTTGAGCAAAGTTTTTACCATTAAATTAATTATGCAAAAGGTGTCAGACGCAAAACATTTCAGAAACCGTATGTATCATATTTGATACATACGGTTTAGAATGTGACAATATGAAATCTGAAACTACAAAAGAAAATAAATAAAAATATTTTAAGTGTAATTAAAATACTTCACATAATAGCAAATTTTTTCTTCTCAAACTAAAAAGCAGGTGTAGTTTCTTGCACTTGCTTTGCAGTTATTTATAATAGAAAATAAAAGCAAATTTAGTTTCAACTATTACTTTTTCAGTATTAACTTTTGTTTAGCCTTGCTTCTTCAAACATGCAATCATCCTGACCTCTTTCTGATGCCACAACTAGGCAACACAAAACAGACACAAACCCAGAAAGCCTGACATTTCCAACCTGATTTGCTTTGATTTTCTTTGCCTCAGCCTTCAATAAAGATATAGGCACTAGAAATATTCTCTAATTTTTCCAATTTGCCTGTTAGTGAGGAACACTTTAAGACCCAATGTTTTTCAGTCAGTGGCACTGATATGCCGCATATTACAATAATGCATTATTATACATGTTTATCAGATGTGGGTGCGAAAGTGAAGATGTGGTATTTACTCTTGTTTCACATAAAATTTTGCTTTTATTTTTACATCTAATCTAAATATAATGGTGAACATGTCAATTCATTTATTTGATTTAAAAATATTTTTTTTACATTTGCGCAATTTGAATTACTCTATAACTATTTTTAGTAAAGTTATTTTCCATCTGGCTTTACTTAATTTCTTATTTCTCATTAGATACAACTGAAGTCATTGAAATAAATTCGTTTTTTTGGAAGCACAAGTTCAATTATTTTTAAAAGTAAACATTTTGATTTAAAATTCTGAGTCTTTGTGATGCAAGCAGCTAAAATTCTAAACGGATTTTTGATGACAAATCCGGCCATCTGGACTTCCATTCCACCCCAGCTGACCTGAGTGGAAGCAGCAACTATATTAGAGAAAATATTTTATTTTTTCTTTAAAAACCGAACATTAATAAAGTCCATATTTCAGTAAACATGACCTCCCTGTTGACCAGTTTTCGCTTGGCGGAGACTTTAACAGATGCAGTCATCGTGGCTGAAGGGGTGGAATTTCCAGTCCATAAGGTCATCCTGTGTAATTGCAGCCCGTATTTCCGGTAAGTTGAGAAAAGTGAATTAGTTTGTGTTTTAAAATGCAGCAAATAAGCTACATTTGGTTATAGTTGAGGATTTAATCAGCAGTGAGTTGAAAAGGAAAGCTTCAACCAACAACAATACATTAAAACCACAACCAAAATTGTTTAACAGGTCAAATTAAACTGGCTTTAATTTGACAGTACAGTAGTGGGAAAAGGTATTCAACTATGCAGTCCAGTTAAATAAAGGAGGTAGATATATATGATGACATTGCAGTGTCCATATAAACTGTAAAAGTCCCTGCATAATTATAATAAAGCAATTTATATGCATGAAACAAGTGGAGCGGTATGGCAATTGCCATAACGCTACACTTGTGAAAGTAAAATCTGTTGGGCTCCTTTTGGTATCAAGACAATTATTCTTATTGCCACCTTGCCAGACAAGACACTGTTGAGAAAAAAAAAAAAGAAAAAAAAAGATATATATGATAATACACCCATTCAGCACTTTATTTTCTTTTTTCTTTGAAAAGAAAAAGAGAACATAATGGTAGAGCGTCCAGCCCTGCTTCGTTTCACTAATTTAAACCTTCAGAAAAGCTGTAAAGGTCTCCAAACAATTAAAATAACTCAAAACAACTTACAGACAGTTGGAGCAGTAAATAGTAAAATGTTCTAAAAAAAAAAAACCCTGAGAAATAGTCTAGTGTATTATGAAAATGATTATTTGATACAAAACACTCCCTAATAAGAAAAATAACTTCCTTAGACGCCTTGTTGCCTTGCAGCTCTGAAATTAATATATAAACGTTTCAATTATCAAAATGTATCATCTTTCTATGTAAGTAATAATAAAAAATTAAAAAATCTATCACTATTTATAATGGGATATTTAGCAGGAGTCAGGTGTGTCTGTACAGAGAATAAAACTATCTATGGTGTTAAATATTTCAATTCAGAAATGTTTTTTAGACATAGGAACTCTTGAAATTATCTCTGTATATATATAAACACATATATATATCTATATATAGATATATATCCATATATAGAGAGAGATATATATCTATATATATAGATCTATGTCTATATATAGATATACTATATATAGATCTATATATAGATATATAGATCTATATATATTTATATATAGATCTATATTTATATATATATCTATATATAGATATATATCTATCTATATTTATATATATATATCTATCTATCTATATCTATATGTATTTATATATGCATAGTAACTTGATGAAATATGATGTCTGATTATATTAAGAATATTTGGTTTATATTACAAATCTATGCTGTGCTCTCTCCTCAGTGCTCTCTTTAGTCGGTGGTCTGGTTCAAACCAAAAGGTTTTTCACATACCAGGAGTTTCATCTGCAATGATGCAGCTCATCATTAACTACGCATACAAGGAAAATGTCACTGCCACTAAGGATAATGTACTGGAGCTTCTTGAAGCAGCTGATCAGATGAATGTACTTGAAGTTGTGTATGCCTGCAAGGGATTCCTGGTGCATTTAATGTGCCCTGAAAACTGCATCGGCATGTGGAGGTATGCAATTCTTCGCGTGCTCCCTAACCTGCAGTGCAAAGCCTACTCCTTCATCTTGGAGCACTTTGAGAAGGTGGCTCTGTGTGAGGAGTTCCTGGAGCTCTCTGCTGATGAGCTCTCTGATATCATCGAAAAAGACAACCTGAACATAAGAAATGAAAGCAAGGTGTTTGAGGCCATTTTGAGGTGGACTTCTCATGCCCTTCCGGAGAGAGAACAACACTTCTCAGTTCTCTTGTCTAAGGTACAGAAACTAAATGTAGCACAAATATTCACTTACTCAGTATTTCTTTGGCAATAGTATTCTGGCTATGCTGTAAGGCCAAATGTATAGTATTTATCAGTAAGTTTGCAGTTACCATAATTTACCAAATAGCTTCTTATCCCACCCAGTTTTGAATTATATTATTAACTGGAATGTGAGTACTACTTTCTGTAATAAACATTTAGAAATTATTTGTTGTCAAGGGGGATCAAAGTGCTTTACAGGTAAGAAAAATAAATTAAATAAAACAGCTTTAAATAACCTAGAAAAAACCTTAAAAAAAACTATAAAAATACAATACACAAGTAAAATTCCTATATTAAATCAGTATTTAAAAAAACATAAACCAGTGGCTGTACCTCTTTCTTTGTTGTCTGCCAGGTTTTGTTTTTGCACATGAGCTAAATTGCTCTCTAGCCATAGCGGGATGGTCTGTGGTGTCATTAGTTCTCAATAAAAATCTACATTGCTCAGTTGTACAATAAAACTGTTGTTTTTATCTACATATACAGTCAGCTAGGGAAAGAAGCCTTGCGGTTGGCACAAGAATAGTTGGGTCATCTATATGTATATTTTGACGGCACAAGACTTGTATCATGCAGGATTTTATTATTTAAAAAAATTTATCAGAAAATTTAGTTTAGTTTTACCAAAGACTATGACATATAGGGCATAAAATTTAGAATCATCAACCATATTAATAATTTTGTTTTGTCATCTCTGTGTAGGTCCGGCTGCCCGTGATGAATGCAGAGTATTTCAGAGAAAACGTGCTGCCAAATCCACTGGTGAAGAACAGCAGTCTGGCTCTGCTCTGTGAAAACATGATTAGCCACGATAACGCTTCGTTATCTACGCCTCACTGGCCCCCTGCCTTCAGTCTTCCTCGACTGCCTAATGCCATACTAATGGCCATCGGTGGGTGGAATGCTGGACATCCAACCGACGCCATTGAGTTGTATGACGTCCACCTTGATCGTTGGAGCAGCCTGACTCCCAGTCTTGAGTATCCTTGTGCCTATCATGGCACCGTCATCCTGAATGGTTACATATACTGCCTTGGCGGTTTCAACACATTTCAGCATTTTAGCAGGGTGCACAAGTTTGACCTTGTCAACGGCACCTGGCATGAGGCTGCTCCCATGTACCACCGGCGCTGCTACATTAGTGTGACCGTGCTCAATGGCCGCATTTATGCCATGGGAGGATTCAATGGACACAGACGACTCAAGGAAGCAGAGAGTTATGAACCAATGACAAACCAGTGGAATATGATTGCTCCAATGCACGTGGAAAGGAGTGATACAAGCTGCACCACGTTCAACAATAAGGTGGGTGTCATATAAAAGAAAATAAAAATGAGTTATCAGGGGTAGGAAATAACCATGTCCATTCAATTGAATATGGTGCCTCTTGTAACTAAGTTAGTGCATGAGGATTACTTAATGATTTGTTCATATGTCATAAATGTGAAAGACCATTCTGTTTTTTCTTTAGATTTACATTTGTGGAGGATTTAATGGAATAGAATGCCTGCAGACAGCTGAATATTACACCCCAGAGACCAACCAATGGACAATGATCGCTCCCATGATCAGACGCCGCAGTGGCATAAGAGTCATCGCTTATGCATCTCATATATACGCGGTAAGTGCAGGACACTGTGCTGAAATGCAAGTTAAATGTTGAAACCTCACTGGTGATATGACAGGGTTTGCATCAGTGGCTGTGCTTAATTTAATCTGACTAATAGAGGGTTTTAAAAAGAAATAAGATTGTTATGATCAGATATTTGACCCTTTAATAGATCAGTGTGTGGCGGCTACATGTTAGCCAAATGAAACACTATTTATACCGCTTGCAAGCTTCTAAATATATGTATATACCTTAAAGCAGCAGATGTGATGTCAAGGGCTTTCACGTTTCATGGTCTGTACTTGACCAAAGCACTTAACACTACATTTAGTCACTTAGGAGGAATTTCAGTACCCCATGTAATCGGTCATGTTGGGGAGCCCTGATATCACACAGCAACTCAGGGCGCTGCGGTGGACCTCCATGCCGCAGACCTCAGACCACTCATTTGATGTGGCATCATGGCACTCAATGTTAGAACAAGTTGTGTGGCCATTCACGCACAGATTCACACACTTATGGTGGCAAGCTACATAGTAGCCGTAGCTGCCTGGGGGCTCACTGACAAAAGCGAGGCTGCCACCGGTCTCTCCGACCAGCATCAGTGGGCAATGTGGGTGAAGTGTCTTGCCCAAGTATACAATGACAATTAAACTGACAACCCTCCGGTTGCAGGCCAAACCCTTTTAGCCAACGCCACTGTCAGCCCCCATTGTGGTTAAATGGGTCAGACCTAGCAAACAATCAAAGGGTTATATTCACAATGAACTTTGTTGAAACTCACAAGCAACTGCCATCCATCTCAACTCAGAAACCAGTGACAATTCCACATGAGGTGAAAAACGAAAAAAAAAACAGACAACCTTGTCAAGAATGATCGGGAGCTTCGAGAACGAGCAGAAGAGTGCTGCAGTTCTGTTTTTTGACCACAGACTTAGACTTAGTCAGATTTTGTTTGCCATTTTGTTTACACAAGTGTAAAACAAAAAGAAATTCCGTTTGGAACAGCTCTCAGGATAACTTCATCTTTTTTTTAAGATTGCAGCCTTGAAAAATAGTTTAAAAAAAAGATATATATATATATATATATATATATATATATATATATATATATATATAAAAAAAAATATATATATATATATATATATATATATATATATATATATATATATATATATATATATATATATATATATATATAAACATATATATATATATAAACAGTAATATAAACATATGACTGTAAATTCACAGTTCTAAAGTTTCAGGCACCATATCAAGAGAAAGCTTCATTATGCCTCTTTAACTTTTTTGGTTTGTAACTCACTGGGTCATCTAAGAACATTTAATGACTCTCTTACGGTATTCAGCCTTAAAGGGAAGGTTTATTGAAAGTGTCCTTCTTTCTGCCGCTCAGCAATCCCACCATGTTTTTTTATTATGGCCATTAGGCATTTCTGATAGTGGGAATATATTACAGAAATAGCAAAGCTAAAATTGTGATCAGATTAGGACTTGATAAGGATGCGTTCTTAAAATTATCAACAAAATCCAGACTTATAACAAAAATTCCCGTCAAAGTAATTAGTTGGGTTGAGTTTCTATGAAGTAGAATACCTTAAAATAAAAGCTTTTTAAATTTGGCGCTCAGATATTTGTATTTTCCATCTCCCCTCTGCATATCTGCTGCTCTTAGCACTTACAAATTTACTGAGGTACTTACTTGTGTAATGCCTGACCCTATACACTCTTCTTTTCTCCAACAGGTTGGTGGCTTTGATGGTGAAAGGCGTTTGAGGTCTGCTGAGGCCTACGACCCTGAGAATAACAGCTGGAGGAATATCGCCTCCATGAAGACCAAACGCAGCAACTTTGGCATTGAGGTGATTGAAGACCGGATCTTCGTTGTTGGGGGCTTCAATGGCCACACCACTTGCTCTAACGTGGAGTGTTACGACGCCACATCTAATGAGTGGTCTGAGGTCTGCAACATGGAAGTCCATCGCAGCGCCCTGAGCTGCTGTGTGATATCAGGGCTCCCCAACATGACCGATTACATAGTTCCTCGTGTCGCCCATCCGCTGATGCCAGTCATGGAGGGGGAACAAATGGAGTCCTGAGATTCCTGCTAAGACCAGCAGCTCTCAACCAACATCAGAGACAGTTACAAATGTAACGTTACAAAACTAATAAACCATTTCTAGCATCAAGCTCCTGTTGTACAGATCTTTTCTTTTGACTTAAATGTTTCTGCAAGTAGCCTATGTTCATTTTACAGTTCATCAAAGCAGTCCTGTATGGGGTTGACAACACAGGCCAACAACTACCGAAACCTAGCTGTTTTTATATCAAACTTCTTTCAATCCAAAATTGACAGGACATGGTTGTGTAATCCTCTATCTTATTGAAGAGTTACTTCAAGTACAGAATTAAAAAACCTAAGGTAAACATTCTTTAGCTGTGCATCATAAAGAACATTACAGTTAAAACCAAATTTGACTTGCTGGAGAGTCTATCAACGTTTTCTGTAGATATCTTAAAATATCTACAGAAAAAAGTTCACAGTTCCATGAGTCCAGCTGTAAGCTCAGACAGACAGGCTCAGATGGAAACAGGTGGTTGAGAGGGACAGAGACAAGTCAAAACTGTAAACTGTACTCCTATCGGGAGCCAGGATCACAGAAATTAAAACTGACCTCCCCCTTACTCAAAACCTGAGCCAAAACCCTGAGGGCTGCATGGAGAACGCCCAGAAGAGCCGGGACACGATCAGGAGACATGAGACAAACACTAAAACCCTCCTGACACACAGGCCCTCAAGAGTCAGGAAAGGAACCAGGGACTTAACTATAAACTCAAAAACCAACAAACATAAATACCTACATGAAAAACTACGAATAATGATCTGGCCCCGATAGCTGGGCTGAACCGTGTATATAGCAGAGGGAGCAGGTGAATAAGACATAATTCTTTTCCCCCACCCTGGTAACTAGGACACGACTGCAGTGTCTCGGAGAAGCAGAAAATATAATATGAGAAAAGAAACATTTTAAGAAATGGCATACTGATGTATTGGCAGAATAATTTAATATTTTTAAATTTGCTGTAAGAAGAAGCTTAACCATGGCAACCAAACAGGAGTTGAAACAAGAACAGATAGTGGAAAAGAAATGGATACTGATGTGAGATACAAAAAGCCGACCAATGACTCATTGTGTTGCAATTGCTTTGCCTGCCAACTGAAGCTCTTTCTATTCTGGGGTTCAATAGTCTGCTTAGTTCATTTAGTATTTATTCTTCAAATGTTGTTTAAACTGTCCAGTTTATTTTCCAAGATAACCACAATAATATGTATAATAACATGCCATGTGGTCGGGCCTTGATTTGACACCCTTATGCAATATAATTATAGCACATACACGGCATATGGCCCTTATCTGGTCCACATTCTGTAACTTGTGGACCAGATGTGTGGACTCCTCATGCATCCATCCATGCATTTTCTTCTGCTTTATCCGGGGCCGGGTCACGGAACCAGCAGTCTAAGCAGCGATGCCCAGACTTTCCAATCCACATACACCTCCTCTAGCTGCTATGGGGACTCCATGGCAACACCAGGCCAGCATAGAGATACAGTCCCTCCAGTGGGTCCTTGGCCTTCCAAGAGGCCTCCTCCCAATAGGACATGCCTGGAACACCTCCCCAGGGAGGCGACCAGGAAGCATCTGGAACAGTTGCCCGATCCACCTCAGCTGGCTCCTTTCAACATGGAGGAACGACTCTACTCCGAGCTAGTCCCTGGTAACTGAGCTCCTCGCCCAGTCTCGAAGGGTACGCCCAACCACCCTGCGAAGGAAACTAATTTCAGCTGGTGGGAATGTAGTTCGATCCGTAAATCGAGAGCTTTGCCCCCCGACTCAGCTCCCTAGTCACCACAACATTCCGATACAGAGACCGCATCACTGCCAATGCTGCACCGATCCATCTACCGATCTCATGCTCCATCTGTCCCTCCACTTGAGACAAGGACTCTCTACTGACCTGAAGAGAGGAGTCCACCTTTCTCCAGTGGAGAACCATGGCCTCGGATTTGGAGGTGATGATCCTCATCCCGGCTGTTTCTTACTCGGCGGGACTCCTCATTCCACGTGCTATTTGATTAATTTTCTATTGAGGCAGATGCCTATTTGTGTCAAATTAAGGCTGAGCTTCATTTGTGATCACCTTGTCTTATCTAATGTCAGTGTTGACTTTACTGATCAGGTGCTTTAGTGATTTACTGAATATTACTTTAGGGAACAGGGCCTCCTTGTTAGAAGTCAACACTTAGACAAACTGTGCCACCATGCAACCTAATTGCAAAATTACTCATTTCAATTCAGTTCAGTTTATTTCTATAGCGCCAATTCACAACACGTCATCTCAAAGCACTTTACAGTTCACCAGATCATACAGTCAAATTGATTCAAAGTTTTCTATCTAAGGAAAACCAGTTGATTGCATTGACTTGAAGGCAATCCCTCACAATAAGCATGCTTGTAGCGAAAGTGGAGAGGAAAACTCCCCTTTAACAGGAAGAAACCTCCAGCAGAACAAGGCCCAGTGTGAGCGGCCGTCTACCGAGGCTGACTGGGGTTCAAGGAGACAAAAGTAGAGATTCAAAAAACAGCTGTAACAGGCGGCCCTGTCCAGGAAACTCACAGCCAGGCATATTAGCTCCGAGCCAGCTCCCATGTCAGAGGATGAAGAGAGCACATCCAGCCAGTCACAGTCAGAGAAACAGGACTACACTGAAAAACAGGCTGATCTCCAACATCTAAAAACAAAGGTGTTGATGGCAGCAGCACAGCTGATATTTCTCTCCAGGATGGAGTGACAGCCAAACAGGAACAGACGAGGCGAAGCTACTATGAGGAAAAGCAGAGAGAGCAGAACGTTAGAGATTGAACTAAAAGATTCAGCAGAGTGGGAGAATAGAGATAGAATGAAGCAGAATGATGAAAAAGAGGTCCCTATGTCCTCCAGAAGTCTAAGCATATAGCAGCATAACTATAGAGATAGCTCAGGATAACCTGAGCCACTCTAACTATAAGCTTTATCAAAAAGGAAAGATTTAACCCTACCCTTAAAAGTAGACAGGGTCTCTGCCTCAAGGACTAAAACTGGTAGTTGGTTCCACAGGAGAGGAGCCTGAAAACTAAAAGATCTGCCTCCCATTCTATTTTTAGAAATTCTAGGAACCACTATTAAACCTGCAGATCGAGAGCGAAGTGCTCTGTTAGGAACATAAGGAACAATAAGATCTCTGTATATAAGATGGAGATTGGCCATTTAAAGCAAAAAAGATTGTGCCAATGCAGAAAAAAAAAATAACTTTTTAGTGGAAGCACTTTTATTCTGTATCATGTTGGGATTTCAGTTTCCTCACTCTGGGTTAGTGTTCAGTGAAATTTAACCATTCACTTCATTATTCATAAGTTGACCAAATCATAACAGGATTTGTTTTGTTATAGAATAAAACTATAACTATAGAATAGTTCATAGAATAATATTAACAAAACAAAAAGATAAAAACAAAAAAAAAATAGTAAAAACCCATTCATAAAAACAACCCGTAGTGAGGGCTGAGAGAAAGCTGCTTGATAAGCTCATCAGGAAGCCCAGCTCTGTGAGTGGATGCCCTCTGGACTACGTGCAGGAGGTGGGAAACAAAAGCATCCTAACTAAAATAACAACTCTGTTGGATAATGTTTCCAACCTCAAGCATGAAGCTGCAAAACTGGAGAGCTGCTTCAGTGACAGACTGCTGCACCCTAAATGCACCAGGGAGCATTATCACAAACACCTGAATTCCTACATTGTGGGACAATAAAGGGACTTTCTATTCTATTGTATTCTATTTCTATATCTATTCTATTTATTTTTATTTTTTTATTACTATTTTCTAAACAATTTTTCAAGGCTGCACTTTAAAAAAAGATGAAATTGTCCAGAGAGCTGTTCCAAACGAAATTTCTTTTTGTTTTCCACTTGTGTAAACAAAATGACAAGTCTAAGTCTATTCTATTCTAAATATACACATTTCTAGCCCGTTTCCGCCACTCTGTTAAAGAAAAAGTTAAATAAATGATCTTATCATAATGAGTTACTATCTCATCATTTTGAGTTATTATCTCAAAATAATGAGATGCTATCTCATAATGAGATAGTACCTCAAAAGAATGATATAGTAACTCAGAATAATGAGATAGTATCTATTATAATGAGATAGTAACTCACAATAATGACATAGTATCTATTTTAATGATATAGTAACTCAAAATAGTGAGATGGTATTTCCTTATAATTAGATAGTAACTCACAATAATGAGATAGTATCTCCTTATAATGAGATAGTAACTTACAATAATGAGAGTATCTCCTTATAATGAGATAGTAACTCAATAATGAGAGTGTCTTATTATTATTATAAAATAGTAAGTCAAAACAATGAGATAGTATCTCATTATTTTGAGTTACTACCACATCATAATGAGATAGTTTATTCGATTTTTTTAACAGAATGGCGGAAACAGGGTTCCATACATTTCTGCTTAGTACTGGAAAATAATTAAAAATATTTTTATATCCAGATATAAGTAATTACGTTATGCTCAGGATAAATAATGATACCATAAATAAATGAGCATAATTAGGTGATCTTCCATTGGAGTTTTTTCTCCCCATTTTCTTCACTAGAGGGCGCTCCTAACACAGCCCGTTACACTTTCAGTAATTAAACAATGGAGGAAGTCAAGATAAGACCAGAATTCCGGAAAATGTCCCATTTACAAATCTACTGAATACGATAATGCTGCATATTAGCATCTAAAACGAATTTTCAATTTTTTGTTCTTTATCTGAGTTGGGTAATTTCGATTTTGGATATGTACGTGAACGCAGCATTTCTTCGTCCTCGGATTGGACGTATTAAAGCCAAGTGGGCGGGACATCTTCCTCTGATTGGTTAAACTCCTTACAAAATGACGTGCTGCGTGGGTCACATGGGTTTTAGTCCGAAGTGCACAAATTTCTCAGATTCCACGAATTTTATCCTTTATATCTAGTCTTTAATCGGGTTGAAAATGGCGATAGAGGCCTGGTACATGGACTGCTCAGACGAGGACCAGAGGAAGCCCCACAGGCTGAACCCCAACCAGCCCGTCTCCCTGGACGAGTTGAAGAAGCTCGGAGTTTTCTGAGTCATTCCATGAGAATGGGTAAAATTGGACTTGGACATTTTCAATTTTTTTACCCAATAGTATTGTTTCTATGTATATCCCACATATTTAGGGATATATTTAACTATCCGAAAAACATATTTTCCCATCTCAGGCATTAATTTTCTTTTAGTATTGATCAGTACTTCAAGATGTGTTCACCTTAATTCCTCAACCCCGTTACGGACACTTTGAGGCCTTTCTGAATGTTATTATAAAATGAATTTAGAAAGAAATAAACATTTTCACATTAATCAGAAGTCCCCCATCCTAATTCAATCATTTCAAAAAGAAAAATTACATAAAATAACACTTTATGCTTTCTTATATGCTGAAATGTGACAAATTGGTGAAATCACTCACTCATTTTTCTTCAGAAATTCAGTTTAACTCAAGAATCGTAATGAAAATCAATTTCAAATGATAGCTCTTTATATTTGAAACAAAAGTCAATAGACATTAAATTATTTTATCAACATTTTAAAAAAATTATATGTGAAAATATAGGTGTGACGGGGTTGAGACTAACATAACAGGGTTGAAGATGGTAACAGGGTTGAAGGGACAAATACGATTTTCTTTGTTTATTTCAGTGTTTAGGACTTTCTGTTGGCATTTCATTTTTTAACCATAGCAAAGACACCAGCTAAAATTGCTATTGAATTGAGCTTTAATATAAACCCAAAAACAACAACAACAACAAGAACAAAACAAAACGGCATAATAACAACAACAGAATATGATGTGAGGTGACATTCCACATCCCCAGGGCCAGTTTAAGCGCCCGCAGATCAGGTCGCCGAGGTCTCCGCCTCTGGCTGCCGCCCAATCCCCTTTGCACCGTTCCCTCATGGTTCCCCCTGCAGGTGGTGGGCCCACTGGGGGATGGCCTCGCGTTGCTCCTTCGGGCTGGGCCCGGCCGGGTCCTGCGAGGAAGAACTCGACCACCAGGCGCTCGCCGACGAACCCCAACCCCAGGCCTGGCTCCAGGGTGGGGTCACGGCTCCGCCGTACCGGGCGACGTCACGTGCCTCGTTTTAGTCCTCGTCATAAGGGTTTTTGAACCGCTCTTCGTCTGACCTGTCACCCAGAGCCTTGGGAGACCCTTCCAGGGGCATTTAGCCCCCGACAACATAGCCTCTGGGATCACCCAGGCACTGAAACCCCTCCACCACCTTAAGGTGGCGACCGTGAAGGCATTCGACCGTGTCCCTCGTGCTGCGAGTCTGGTTCGCATTGCCGGCATTAAGTCGGACCTGTTCCCGGTGCATGTTGGACTCCGACAGGGCTGCCCTCTGTCACCGGTCCTGTTCATAACTTTTATGGACAGGATTTCTAGGTGCAGCCAAGGACCGGAGGGGGTCTGGTTTGGGGAACAGCGGATCTCGTCCCTGCTTTTTGCGGATGACGTAGTTCTGCTGGCTCCTTCCTGCCAAGACCTACAGCGTGCGCTGGGGCGGTTCGCAGCTGAGTGTGAAGCGGCCGGGATGAGAATCAGCTCCTCCAAATCCGAGGCCATGGTTCTCGACCGGAAAAAGGTGGCTTGTCCCCTTCAGGTTGGAGGAGAGTCCTTGCCTCAAGTGGAGGAGTTCAGGTTTCTTGGGGTCCTGTTCACGAGTGAGGGAAGAATGGAGCGGGAGATCGATAGACGGATCGGTGCGGCTGCTGCAATAATGCGGACGCTGCACCGGTCTGTCGTGGTGAAGAGAGAGCTGAGCGAAAAGGCATAGCTCTCAGTTTACCGGTCGGTCTACGTTCCTACCCTCACCTATGGTCATGAAATCTGGATCATGACCGAACTTGCATCACGAGCCATCAGTTCTCCTGGAGCCAGAGTAATGACCTGATGAATTCTCATTGTTGCGGGAACAGCTGGTATCTGCTTTGGCAGTTTCTCCATTGCTTCTTCGACATCTTCACTTTTCACAAAGAACAACTTGACACTTGTGTTTGTTTCAGACAAGGCTCTGAATAACTCTTCTGCATCTGGGATGTCACGGCCCTTTGCCACCATCTTGTCAGCTCCTCTTTTTAAGGCCCCCCAACACCATCTGGCGCTCCTTTTCCGTGACTAGCCTCAAAAAAATTCCAAGACCCAGGCTTGAATCCTCTTTTGTCAAGTTCTGTGGAGAAAAGGTAGAAGTTGCCTCGTTGTTTGTACTGGGTACAAGGTCCATCACTTAAAAAGTGCAGCACAGACACATGTGGAGGTTGGGCTTGAGGTAATCCAGCACAGGATTTAAATGCTGCCATATTGCTGGAGGGCCTTTATGCCTGCTGGGGGAGATGGTGCTGAAGCACACAGGCTCTGGGTGTCCACCAACATACAACACACCCGTATGAAGGGTGGCCTCTTGATGTGAAGCTCCAAAGTGAACGTTCTTGATCACTTCTTTCCTCTCCTTGCTCCTGTGGTAAGCTGCTCTCCACATTTTTCTTTTTTTTTACGCTGTTCTCTTTCACTCAGTTCTTGAATTGGTTTCTTCTTCCCTGGCTCTACATTCTTTCTCCATCTCTCACGCTCACTCTGCAGGTATCTCTCCCTCCTTTCAGGATCAGCTTCAAGGCGTTCCCAATATTTCCTCTGCCTTTCTGCTGCTATTGTTGGTGCCACCTTACTCACAGCTTAACATGGAACATAAATCACATTCAGCATGCTAACAGTATAAAAATATTGATTGAATATAATAATAATCAATCTAAGTAATTGAATAACTTAACAACCAAAGTATTAAAATCTCAACCCCATCACACTATCACAACCCCGTTACAATCAAACACATAACGGTGTTGAGTGTGACGGGGTTGAGATTTTTGCACAAAATGGCTTCTTCTCAATGTAGTGAATACAAGAAAGAGAGCACATGGCATGCATGAAATTAAGAATTTGCATATATTTTTGAAATGAAAAAGTTTTTTGTAAGAAGTAGATTTTTTTTATAATTTTTTAATGTTACGGTGTTGAGTCATTTAGTTTGACAACCACAGTATCACAAGATAAATGACCAAATTAGAGGAAAATAGGGGAGCACCTTGCCTGCCTCTGTGGTCCAGTTGTTCAAAAGACTTCAGTGATGTCACGTCCTGATGTATATGCAGCTGTGGATCATACCATTCTTTTTATGGGGGTGAGATCATTTGTATAACGGAGTTGAGCGGTTGCTCAGGGACAGAAGTAATGTCATTTTAAATTAATATTTAATGATTAATTTAGAAAAAAAGAAACATCAACAACTAAAGAGCACAAAAATATGTTTACATTGATGTAAAAATTTATTGACTTTTTAAATAGTTTATTTAGGTATTTTCAAAGGAAACTTTCATCATTGCCATAAGGGACATGACAAAATAGGGGGGTCAAATGAAAAAACTGCATTATTTCTCATAAAAAAGATAGAAATTAAAATATTTTTTCATACTGTATTAAATGGTATATTTCAGTCTAAATGTAAAGCTGTTAAAATATAAAGTTTAGTGATCCAATAGATGAAATACCCCTTAAGAGGTGAGACGGACTCAAAATGTGCCATTTCTATGGAATGACTCTTCTGCTGGAAAGTAAACACAATATACACATTCCTCTCATGTCGCTCAACAATAATCCGGGTTATATTCTTAAATACGAATGCGGAGTTTAATTTACACTCCTAAACATTCTCATTAGCTTTGTGTTTACTTATTGTCTGTGAGTGCAGCTCAATGCTGATATATATGAAGCGGATCCAGCACTGGAGAAGATCAGGAAAGACCACGGCTACTCTTACATGGACATTATTACAATTCAAAGGGACAGCCTGCCTAACTATGAGCAAAAGGTAAGTTTCACGATTAAATGCATAGTTTGTAATTCAACTTATTCCAAACCAACCGCATCAACACCGAGACTTTTCATGCTATCAAGTGGGTATAGGAGGATAATTACTAAAAACATTTATTTACATTTTTTTAAGTAACGTTTTGATCAAAATATACTTTTAAAAGCATGTTTACTACTGATGGTGAGCTGGAGGCATTGAACTGTTTGGCAGTTCATGTAAACATGTCACCCCCTACTGGTGAAGGGTAGAACTACAGTTAGTAATGGGATTTTTTATTTAAGTAATTTTTCCCCATTTAAGTTCCTTTGAAATTGTTAAGGATTGGTGTGTTTGATATAAATCTTTATTTATTTATTTTAAATGTCTTAGATCATTTAAGGTACACTGTTTTTCTATCATTTTAGTGAAATAAGCACAATCAGACAGTGAAAGTTCTTTTGTGAATTCAAAATCAGGCATACTTTAATAATCCCAGAGGGAAATTACTTTTGTTACACGCTCCAGATACACAAACATTTTTATATATACACACAACAAACCACACAAGATAATACAAAGGAAAGGAATGAATAAATGAATTGGGCAATGATGAGCAAAATGAAAGGCCTAAGTAAAAAAAAAAAGTTTTTCCACAGTTTTTGGTTTTAATTGGGTTGAAAGTTATGTGTTCAACCAATCTAATTTGGCAGTGTTTTTACCCAGTCTATATTTGTTCAAGGGCAAACCAATACAAATTAGTCACATTGGCCAAAATAAGTGTTATTGCAACTTTCAAAAGTCTAAGGCGGGTTTTAAACTAACACCTTCGGGATTGGAAGTCAATGACTTATGCTACGTTCACACCTAAAGCATCTGAGGCAGCAGGAGCAGCTAGTTAACATGCAAAGTCAATGGTTGATGCTCATCAAGGTGCAGCAAAACATCCTGCAGTGTGTTCTGAGCAGCTGAAGCAGCACGTAAGCTTCTGACCATCTGATGCGCTGCAAATGCAGCAGCTGATGGAGTTGGAATTTAACTTTTGCTGCTCAATGCGCCTCATCAACCAATCAGAGCAGCTGATCTGGGAACTGGCAGGGAGAGAGACACATCGCTGATGATGCAGATATCTATGATCGCTCCTCTGAAACAGTTTAATGCCTAAATTGACTTAAAAAGCCAAAATCTGTGGGGAAAAAAAGAAATTCACTTTTATTATCCTGGTGCCTGCAGTTTGGATCACGTGAAAAACGCCTTCCAGCCTCCGTGGCAAACCACGAGGAGACGACCGGGCCAGAGGCTGCTGTTGAATGGGATTTCCAATGACAGAGCACTGCTGGTATATGGGGGTTTGAGCAGCTATGACAGCGAAATAATATTTGAAGGCAGGATGGTAATCTGGATGAACTGACTGCACAGATGAAGTTTTCAGCTGGACTTTCTCACTTCCAAATAGAAACTACTTAACTAACTGTAATGTTCAAGCTACTTTTTACCCACTTATCACAGCAAATATAGCTGCCATTTTTACAGGCAAAGAAAGGATAGGGTAGCTCCGCCCAATGTGCATCAGACCCACTTTACGACCGCCGCGTAGCTGCCTGGAGCAGCAATGATGCTTCAGCTGCATGTCGGAACTAAACTTGGACAAGCATCAAAAATGAAGCAGCACGCGCGTTTTTGCTGCTCCTGCTGCTTGCAGTTGAACGTAGCATTACTGCAAACACCACTAACAATGGTAGCTGCTCATTAGAAAGCAATACTACTTAACACTTATTTTAGAACTGGAACCAGTGGCCTGCTCAAATTTTGATCATTACTTTGTTTAATCCAACAAAAAGTGTTTTAACCAACTACCGTAAATTCCGGACTATAAGCCGCTACTTTTTTCCAGCTGTTTGAACACTGCGGCTTATAATACAGTGCGGCTAATACATGTTTTTTTTCATTGCGCGAAAAACAAAGTATTTGCAACCACTGGACCAGTGTGGATCAGTGTGAACCGTGCATTTAAAGTGGCACTGCGCAGTGAGTGGGAGAAAAGTGGCGAGAAATCCTTCACCAAAACTGGCCGCATGCGAAGGGCATCTTTCACTGATGTCTGCCAGTGGTTCTCAATGCATGGAGCCGTGTGAAAACATCCAGCATCACCAGCGGGTTTCGGGATGAAGAGGACCGCGAGTGCTCAAGTGAGAGCGACAAGGATGAGACTGAAGTCAGTGACAGCATCCTGAAGCTGTTCCATTCAGACACAGAGGAAGAGGACTTTGAAGGTTTTAGTGCGCAGGACGAAGAAGAAAGTGATTAATGACTTTTCCTGGTCGGCTGCAATGTTCTGTGCGTTGTTCAATTAAAAGTACCGGTATATGCAGCGTTATTTGCGTGTTACCGACACATACGTATATTTAAATGTGTTACAGGTAGTTTGAAAAAAAAAAAAAGCATTCATAATATGTACCGTATTTGTTTGTTTTATCATACGGATTAAATCAAACGTTAAAAAAATGGTCACGTGTGATATCTTTATTTGTAAATATCTCATACAACGTGGGAAACCTGCGGCTTAAAATCCGGTGCGGCTTAGAAAAGTACAAAATTGATTTTCTTTCTAAAATAGAGCGTGTGGCTTGTAATCAGGTGCGCTCTATAGTCCGGAATTTACGGTAGTTTGGTTGGAAAAACAACCAATCTTACAACCCATTACAATTTTCTTACAATTTTCTAAAATCTAAATTGCTAAAATACCAGGATTTAATAGAATAAATTGCAGTATTCATGTTCAAAGTAAGACATTGCCTATTGCCTGGGGATATCCAAAAGATGTTCTCTGAAAGGGAGGGAGGGTACGATTTAAGGGGAAGGGGAAATTTTAAGACTAATAGATGTAGAACAACAAGAAAAAGATTATGTTTATCAATTTGTGGAGTTAAATTGTGGAACAAACTAAATGAGAACCTAAAGCAATGCCTAAACATATTCCTTTCAAAAAAATGTACAAAGAAATTATTTTCAAAAGGTGTAGAAAGTTTTGTTTGTTTTTTTTTGTTTTGTTTATTTGTATATATGTATGAAGGTATATGTATATATATATTTATGTATGTATATGTGTAGGTAGGTATGTATATGGATATATATAGCAACATAGTTATAAATATTGTAAATTGAAGAAATAGAAGAATTAAAGGGGTAGGAGCACATAAGTTTTACTTCTTCCTACTCCTTTTCGCACATGTACAGGTGCTGGTCATAAAATTAGAATATCATGAAAAAGTAGATTGATTTCAGTAATTCCATTTAAAAAGTGAAACTTGTATATTATATTCATACATTACATACAAACTCATATATTTCAGATGTTTATTTTGTTTAATTTTGATGATTACAAATGACAACAAATGAAAATCTCAAATTCATCATATCAGAAAATTAGAATATTGTGAAAAGGTTCAAAATCGATGGCCCCTGGTGCCACACTCTAATCAGCTAATTAACTCAAACCACCTGCAAAAGCCTTTAAATGGTCTTTCAGTCTAGTTCTATAGGCTACACAATCATGTGGAAGACTGCTGACTTGACAGTTGTCCAAAAGACGACCATCAACACCTTGCACAAGGAGGGCAAGACACAAAAGGTCATCGCTAAAGAGGCTGGCTGTTCACAGAGCTCAGTGTCCAAGCACATTAATAGAGAGGCGAAGGGAAGGAAAAGATGTGGTCGAAAAAAGTGTACAAGCAAGAGAGATAACCGCACCCTGGAGAGGATTGTGAAACAAAACCCATTCAAAAATGTGGGGGAGATTCACAAAGAGTGGACTGCAGCTGGAGTGAGTGCTTCAAGAACCACCACACACAGACGTATGAAAGACATGGGTTTCTGCTGTCGCATTCCTTGTGTCAAGCCACTCTTGAACCACAGACAGCGTCAGAAGCGTCTTGCCTGGGCTAAAGAGAAACAGGACTGGACTGCTGGTGAGTGGTCCAAAGTCATGTTCTCTGATGAAAGTAAATTTTGCATTTCCTTTGGAAATCAAGGTCCCAGAGTCTGGAGGAAAAGAAGAGAGGCACTTCATCCACGTTGCTTGAAGTCCAGTGTAAAGTTTCCACAGTCAGTGATGGTTTGGGGTGCCATGTCATCTGCTGGTGTTGGTCCATTGTGTTTTCTGAGGTCCAGGGTCAACGCAGCCACATACCAGGAAGTTTTAGAGCACTTCATGCTTCCTGCAGCTGACCAACTTTTTGGAGATGCAGATTTCATTTTCCAACAGGACTTGGCACCTGCACACAGTGCCAAAGCTACCAGTACCTGGTTGAAGGACCATGGTATCCCTGTTCTTAATTGGCCAGCAAACTCTCCTGACCTTAACCCCATAGAAAATCTATGGGGTATTGTGAAGAAGAAGATGCAATACACCAGACCCAACAATTCAGAAGAGCTAAAAGCCACTATTAGAGCAACCTGGGCTATCATAACACCTGAGCAGTGCCACAGACTGATCGACTCCATGCCACGCCGCATTGCTGCAGTAATACAGGCCAAAGGAGGCCCAACTAAATACTGAGTGCTGTACATGCTCATACTTTTCATGTTCATACTTTTCAGTTGGCCAACATTTCTATAAATCCTTTGTTTTTATTGGTCTTCAGTAATATTCTAATTTTCTGATATGATGAATTTGAGATTTTCATTTGTTGTCATTTGTAATCATCAAAATTAAACAAAATAAACATCTGAAATATATGAGTTTGTATGTAATGTATGAATATAATATACAAGTTTCACTTTTTAAATGGAATTACTGAAATCAATCTACTTTTTCATGATATTCTAATTTTATGACCAGCACCTGTAATAGAGGTATATTAATTTAGGAAAGAAGGTTACCTTGTTTGTTGTTTTTTCTCTCCAATGTTTTAAACATTGTTTTATTGTTTTTTTGTTTTTCTCTCCTACAAACTCCCAAATCTTCACTGAATACTGAGGCTGTTTAAATCGAAGTTCAGGGCGAGCGGAACCACTTCCTGAATGCGGGATAGCGAGGCTTCAGACATAATCTATTTTGGCTCCTCCCCCAAATAAAGCAAGCCTCGATACACGCCTCGCGGAATCGCCCCCTCCACTACTCGGCACACGCCTTGAAGCCTCGTCTCATCTCATAACATCACTAACATTTACTGAACTATATCTAATGTTACCCGTTTTCTGAGCCAAAAATGCACCAATCACAGATCCACACATGCAGCAGTTTGATGGAGTAAAATATGATATAATTGTTTGTACTGAAGCTTCATTGATTTTATTTGATCTTTAATTAACCAAGACTGCTGGTATACTTTAAAATCTTTTTATAAAAGCATGATCCTAAAAACAGTTTATTCTCCCTTGATTTGTTAAATATCAAGTTATTTATTTACTAAATATTTTTTGGATTTTACCTGTCGTTCTTTTGGATATCTAATTGTACATTTTGATTAAAACCTGTTAAAGTAGTGCTCCTCTTTTCTACATTTGCATGTTTTGATTACTTTTAACTTGAGGATGGCTAATATGGAAACAAATATTTACAGCAAAATATTTATTTGCATTTATTAAAAAGCAAGTTATATTGGACTTTAGTCAAAACACAGAAACCCACATACTGCTCTTAAAAGAACAACAAAAATCAATAAAGATCAGCTTATCTATTATATTTAAGAACATAAGTTACATTAAGGTGTGTATTTTGAATAAACAGCATTTAATATTATCATTGAACTTGCTGTGAAAAAAAAAAAGTTAAAGTAAGAATCTAACAATACAATTTTTTTTTGGGGTGTAAAAATATATTGTTGAGTTAATTGTTGTCACAAGAAATCTTAACTGAAGACAGAATCAACTAACGGTGAATGTAAAGCCCTCTGACCAACAATTGGATCTTGGTCCAAACCAAATTCCGTTTGTAATGACTTATTATCCAGTGATGGTTGAATAATTTGTTTTTGTTCTCTTCATCTTCCTCAGCTGAAGATGTTCTATGAGGAGCATTTACACCTGGATGATGAAATCCGCTACATCCTGGACGGGCAGGCCTACTTCAATGTCCGGGACAAAGAAGACCGATGGATCCGAATCGCCATGAAAAAGGGGGACTTGATCACCCTGCCAGCTGGCATCTACCATCGCTTCACCCTGGATGAGACGGTAAAGCTTGGCTTTAAAGTTGTAGGGAAGTCATATTTAAATGTCAAATCATTCTGGCTTAAACATGTATATCAATCTACTCTTTATCAGATGCCGTCCCAAAAGTTAGAACATTTATATTTAAAAACAAATCCTGTATTAATCCTGTATAAATCTGTTTTTTACTTTTTCGTTATCTTAAGCAGGTCAGTTAGTTATACGTCGGCTTGTACACCTAAATTCGACCAATCATATATCAACGGTCATCTGTCAATCAAATGTTTTCTGTCATTGCATCTTGATTCATATGTTGCAGCTAATATACGCAAAGGTTGAAATAAGAATCATTTCCTTTCCCATTGAGTTCCGTCCCAGTGTTCAAGGGGATGGACGTCTGTGTCTTTGGCAGGCTTAGAGCTAACAGAACCGGCAGCGTTGCGAGGCAAGGGCTCAAACATGTACAGCTGTAAGCCTTCTACACTAAACGAAGCTTCTGCCGCCCTGGCGTCCTCTTCCACAACATCTTCATCCCTGCTTTCCTTCTCTAAATAAGAAATGTATGATGGAGGAGACTCATCCATGACCTCCGACACAAAACTCTCCTCCTGTTGCGTGTTTCCGCTGTCCATAGCGTTCCTTGACAGTGTCGATGTTGAGTGCTACCGGTACTTGGTCCCAATGGAATTTTCCATTGGGAACCCACCAGCACTAAGTTGCTCACTGGTAAGCAACATGCTTCAGACAAACCGGCCACAACCAAAGGGCTTGTGAACCTTCTGCCACAACAATCCCACCCGCTTGATAAAATACCAGTCACACTCACTTCATTCACTCGTGTAAAGTCGAGCACCTGCAATGGTTGGAACAGCCGCTACCCTACGAATCTAACATACATGTTGGCTTGGCACTCTGGGTTCCTGAGCAAGACCCTTAACCACTGATGGCTCCCAGGATGCCGCACAGTGGCAGCCCACTGCTCCCCAAGAGGAAGGGTCAAAATGCAGAGAATTAATTTCCCCATCGTGGGACAATAAAGCGATTTTCATTAATAATTTTGGTTTTGTGTGTTTAAATTCAGGGTTTGAAGAATTATAGGAGAATAGGAAAAAAAACTATTATATTGGCATGGGTGTTGCGATACATGTCCCAATAATGACTGCAATATGACGATATATTGCAATATTTTTCCTGCTATCAAAATCAAATTAATAGATAAAAAAGTGCTGTATATGTTCATCAGAAGATATTTTTTTATGGTTATTTTGGTATCTATGTTGGTCGGGGTTTGAGTCACTCCACGTCTTCTATTGTGAGTGCTTGAACTACGGGATTGGAGCTGCGCCGCAAAGCAAAAGGGCTCCACAGCGCCACCTGCCAGAGGTAGCCCATTTTCATCATTGTTTTAGGTGAATATGTTTTGTTTTTTTAAATCGATGCTAGGAAGCGAAAGATCGATATTATATCTGGCAGCCGAATTTCACGATATATCACTAAAACGATTACATTCCACAAACCTAGACTTTAATATATATATTTTTTGTCATTCCATCTTATCACGCAGGATGTAATTTATGGGTTTGGACTGGATGAGTCGTTTTAATTGTGGAGGTGATGAAGTGAGGAGTCATAGCAGGCTAACTGATAGAGCTATGGTTCTGTTTCTGCAGGATTACACCAAAGCCATGCGGCTGTTTGTCGGGGAGCCGGTGTGGAAGGCCTACAACCGGCCGGCCGACGACTTCGACATCCGGCAGAAATACTTGGCTTCACTGCAGGGATCCTGAGAGGGAGCAGATTCCCTCCTATACACTAAAATCACCACCTCCTTTGTTACTCCTGTTGGTCAGCAAGAAGATTGATGAAAACCTTTTATGATTGAAATCTTCACTTACAAGGCCTTAGATAACTCCTAGTATTATGCAGGACAGAGCTCACTTCAGATGTTTCTACTGCTTTTTGTTTCAAAACATCATGTATTCTTTTACCTGCATTTCAGGTGAGGAATTTAAAGTAAACCCTTTTCCACTAAAATGTGCCTTTACTTGTAATAATCAAACCATTGTTAACATAATTCAGAAAAATGGTCAAGATGGTGTTTAGAAGTATGACGGATTATTAGGGCAAGGCTATATTTTTTTTTTCTTCTATATCGAGAACAAAGACGTAACATTACAACAGGTCGTAAAATTACGAGAATAAAGTCGTAGAATTACGAAAAACATGTATTTTATGACAACTCTTGAAAGAAGTACTTTTTTCCATAAAATGAGGAATGTCAAGCATTATGTGTTATACTTTGGCTCTGGTTTGACAAATAAGGAAATCTTTTAGCACACCAGCATCAAATTGGGCAGCATGTAAAAGCGCACTCAGGTTGCTTTTTGCTGATCGGAGCTCGAAGCTTTCTTTCTGAAACCGGTTGTTGTATGATGACTTTATTCTTGTAATGTTACAACTTTATTCTCGTAATGTTACAACTTTATTCTCGTAATGTTACACCTTCAATCTCGTAATGTTACGACTTTAATCTCGTAATATTACGACTTTATTCTTGTAATGTTACACCTTCATTCTCGTAATGTTACGACTTTAATCTCGTAATATTACACCTTCATTCTCGTAATGTTACGACTTTAATCTCATAATATTACGACTTTATTCTCGTAATATTGCACCTTCTTTCTCGTAATGTTACACCTTCTTTCTCGTAATGTTACACCTTCATTCCCGTAATGTTACGACTTTATTCTCGTAATATTACACCTTCATTCTCGTAATGTTACGACTTTAATCTCGTAATGTTACGACTTTATTCTTGGTATATTACGCCTTTATTCTCATAATATTACACCTTCATTCTCGTAATGTTACGACTTTAATCTCGTAATGTTACGACTTTATTCTTGGTATATTACGCCTTTATTCTCATAATATTACACCTTCATTCTCGTAATGTTACGACTTTATTCTCGTAATATTACACCTTCATTCTCGTAATGTTACGACTTTAATCTCGTAATGTTACGACTTTATTCTCGGTATATTACGCCTTTATTCTCATAATATTACACCTTCATTCTCGTAATGTGACGACTTTATTGTCGTAATGTAACTACTTTAATCTCAAATAAAAAAAATAAAAAAATCTCTAACCTGGCCCTAATACCCCGTCAGTAAGAGATGAACATACATTTTCATTGCACTGGAAATAAATCTGCTGCTACAGTATCTTTGTCTTTTATTACATTTTTAATAATTTCAACATGTTTCTATTATAAGAGATTCATTTAGGATAAAACAGTTTTCTTTATATACATATATAAGATGATCATCAAGACAGTATGAGAAGAAGCAGAAATAATCAGTTTGACAACGCTTCAAATAATTTATGTACAACTTTGGATTATGAATATTTTTTTTTTATATTTCTGCAATCTGAGGGCCTCATTCACTTTCACTGCAGGAGTGATGTAATCTAGTGGTAATCCTCTTGAAGCTGCATTTTAAGTTTATGGGGTCTGAAGCGCAGGATAATGCCCATGCCCGGCCTCACTGTGTGACAGCAGCTGCGGTAGTGTATTGGAAAGCTGAAGACTGCTTATGTAATTTTTTAGATAATCTCAGATATACTGAGGGAATATTTTGGGTCATGTGTTTACTTCAGATAAAACAAGGGTGGTCTGTTGTGTCCATTAACTACAGAGAATGCCTCTGTTTAAGGAGCGCGATGCAATGGCTTAAAGAGGAAAAGACTGAGAAGCCACAGTGAAACAAAGCTACGCATTAAAAAGATATGGATCAGCAGCAAGCTTTACCCCCAATTTAGTTCAGATTGAATGCATATCCATCCACCTTTTTCATGCTGTACACAGATTAACTATATTACATGCTAGCAGGAGCTAGTCATAGCTGCACCATCCAGGAAACGACTTGTAGCAGATAATACTTAGACTTCTGTCTTAGCTTGTAGAAAACCTGTTTGCAGAAAAGAAAAACTTCTATTACCAGATTTTATTCCTTATCCGTTTTCCCTCCATACATTCATTGTTTTGTCAATACTTCCAACTTTGTCTATTCTTCCTTCTTTCAGTCCATTCCTTTGGCTATCAATCAATGCACCCTTCTGTCCGTCCATCTTCTTTTTATACACCTCTGTGTTTATTTAAACTCCGACTAATTTAGAAATACCTGGCATACATCTTGCTTTTATCATTTTGTAGTTTAAAAACAAAAACTCTTAAAAAGAATAAAGTGGAGATAAATGTGAGAACCTTGTTTGCAGACGGAGTAAAATGTAGTGACACCCAAAAAAAGCTGATTTAAAGCCCTGCTGAAGTTAATCTCATTGCCAGATTAATGCAGTAGCAAAGTCACATGACCCTCATGATTTTCCTTCTGCGCAATTTGAAAGGGGTCTAAACGAATCATGTGTAACTTAAGCCCAGGTTTAGTAAAGCTTGTGATTAATTCCCTCAGTATTTTTGCAAAACTGCTGCACAAACAAAACAAAGTACTTTCACCCTAAATTCATTTAACCAGGATTGTTTTTGGGTTGCTTTTCACATATCGGGGGTGCAGTCCACCCTGGTCGGATCACTTCAGTGCAATAAAAGCAGAGCTCAGACATCCTCTTAACATTTCTGAAACTGAGCCTAAAGCATTGGCTTGGCTTTCCCCAAAGAGTACTGATTAGTTCCTCTCTGTAGTATCCATCATGAACAGGGGGTGGCAGCAGTGGACTGTCCCAGTTGTCCTGCTTCCTTCCTCTCAGACCAGTTTGAGGCACTGTGTGTTGAAGCTGTCCCCCTCCCGACAGGCCACAGCTTCCAGCAGGGCCTGCTTTTTCTGCGTGCTGCGAGATGACTCCAGTTCGTACATGGTGGTCAGGTTGAAGAGGACGCTCTCGTGGAGGTAGAGGGCAGGGTCCTGCTGGACTAGACCTTCCAGCTGGCCCAAGGACTCCTTTAGCCGACCCAGGTAGAGGAGACACACCGCTGCGTTGTTATTGGCCTAAAAACATAAATAAAATGTATTAAATTTCACTTAAATCAGCTGGACTAACATTTTTTTTTAGATGAGATTAGATTAATTTTATTGTCCCAAAGGAAATTTGAATTGGGTACAGACTCTGGTGGTTACATAGTCCAAAACTATGTCTGCATGCACACATAAAAACACTGCTATACTGTAGAAATTCCATTATAAGACAATAAATAAATACATTTGGAAGCATGTTACATTACATTCACAAGAAAAATAAAAAAAATCATAAAAACCCTTCTTTAAAAAATCTATTATGAGATACATTGAGATACATAAAAAGCATATCAGTTTAGTTTAAATTTTGAATACAATTGCCTATTCCACAATTTACTGCTTGATATTGTTTATTGCCTTAATAGAAAGCGAAACAAAAGGGTTCTTATAGTGGTACAACCTACAGGCGGGGACTCTTAAGACGTCGACCTGAAGGAAGAAACTGATAATAAAGAATATGAGTGGGGTCTGAGATGATTTTCTGGGCTTGTCTGGTTATTGTTTCATTTTTTGAAATATTTTTTGTTGTTTCCTTTGGGTGAAAAAAAAAGGAATTTTTGCAATAAAAAAAAATCCAACCAAACTAATTAAAGCTCTTAATGTGCAGATTCTGATAGTTTAACAGATTATTCTACTTACCACAGGGTTTTTTGGGTCAACCTTTAGAACTTCAAGGAAGGTTGCATGTGCTTCAGCATAGTTATTCTGACTGAGGTAGACGAACGCCCTGAAAAAGCCAAAGAAAAAGGTTCCTCTCAGATGTAGTCACAGATTAAACAAGAAATTAAAACGTTTTATTGTGTTTTTATAAGCATTACAGTAAAAAAAGGGCTACACAATGCTAATCAGTCTATATGTCTTATTAAAGTTGTTTGTTTCTGCAATAAAATATGAGGCATTTCCTGTATGCAACTACATACATGCAGCCTAACCTGTTATCTATTAGGGGTGAGTATTGACATGGATGTTGCAATAAGGAACATGTCCCGATACAATCTTATCATGATATTATAATATCACTATATAGTGCAATACTTTTCCTATCAAATCAAATTTATAGACAAGCGGGTGCTGTATATGTTCATCAGAAGACATTGATTATTTAGTTATTTTGTATCCCTGTTGTTTGGGGTTTGAGTCAGTCTATGTGTGTGTTCGGTTTCTCAGGCTGCATCCTCAAAGGAAACGGTCTATCTGGACTGGATCCTTCTAGGTTCATGAAAATAAGGAGGCTGGAAGAGTTTGGGCTGTGAATTCAAACAGGTCCGGCCTCCCGCGGCTTTTACCACAGTACGTTCTGTCGCCTAGCAACCGCGACAGCCGACACACAAAGCAGGAAAAGAATGAATACCGAACTTCTCACTGGAAAAAAAACGATCTAGAAATAAGTAAATATTTCTTAAATTAAGTGTATTTATCCTTAATTTGAGTAGGTTGATGAGATAGTTTTCCAATGGAATGAGTATTTTTATTGGATAATATGCACTTGAAATAAGACAAAAAAATATTTTTTTCTTATTTTAAATGTAAATTGTCTTGTTCCAATGGCAAAATGTCTCTTTTACCTCCTCAATCCAAGAACAAATGCATTTATTTTAAGAACAAAAGACATCTAGATTTAGATTTTTTTCCAGTGCTCACTGTTGTTCTGGGTGTTGTTAACATTTTTAGGGAGCTTCAACAGCTGCATCGTGTCAGATTCATAGTCCCCAACACTGCAGATATATTACTGTCCATAAATAACTCATTTACACAGGGGACAAAAAATATTTCAATAAACCAAACATTATCCCCCACATATCTGACTCAATAACCATTTAAAACAACTATTTTCACATAACTGGATTATATTAAACTGAACTTCCAATATTCACCACTGTTTGGCGCAAAGTGCCGTTTTCCTGAGATCACGGAGCAGCCCGCTTACTTGGTCTCACAATAAAACCTGGGATAACCAAGGCTACGTAGGATACACCGGACCCGTCTTTCAAAACGGGCAAAAAGAAGAACGCATTTGTCGGCCTCATAACGAGGAGTCTTGCAAAACAGACCTCGGAGCTGTGCTATATGGTAAACGGCCTACGAAGCTGGCCTTCAGAGGACGCAGCCCCTGAATTTTAATTTAGCCTATGTCTTCCACTGTGACTGCCTCAAATACAGATATGGCGCTACAGCCACAGCAAAAGGGCTCCACAGCGCTCTGCCAGAGCGGTGGTGCAGAGGTAGCCCC